CCAAGCGCCTCTGGACGCCGAGTTATGACATTATATCGGAACGAAAAATGAATGCAGAATTTAGATAAAATTGATTGTTACAGTCTTTCCAGCGCTAAGATAAAGCAATGTTAAGTGTTAGCATATTAAACAAAATGTATCCATTGCATAAACAGCTCTGATACTCGACACTGGACCATTTGAGCAAATTTGGGCGATTTTGCTTCAGATTTGCGTTCAATTTTTTGACCTGAAAAACGAGCATAATTCCGCGTCCAGGGGCGCTTGGCAGATTTGGAAAGCAGATTTGGAATCACCGATTAATGCTCTTCAAAGCAGTATGGGTCTCATCTGGAAAGGCCACTTCGACTCGACACAGTTCCCTTGTTAGTTCAGAATTTTGACCTGCGTATGGCTCTTGTCCTACCTACCCCTCTTATAAAAGTTCGAACTTCACTAGTGTTTTAGATCATCTTGCTAATAGTTGGAATCTGAAAGGAACAGTAGTGCGCTAGGGTTTATCGTTTTTTCTCTTCGTGCACAAAGAAAGAAAAATTAGGTAGAAACTTCAAAGAAGTGCTTTGCTAACTTATACATAGGATTTCCATTGCTTTTTGTTCATAGCATTGGGTACTTGCGAACAAAATATGAATCAAAAGACGATCACTAAGCGTTGAAGTGGCTGGTTGTAAGGGTGTGCAGCGGTTAACTAAGACATCAATGGATACATTCCGAGATCAGATGAAGTAACGAGAGAATATGCATGAAATCACAGATCAAAAAACTATAGAGCTTGACGGAATCCCTAAAAGGACGAAAGGAAGCCTTTTGGTTTCACTTCATGAGTTGAGGTGGTAGTCGTTGGTAATACTGTTGAGTGTTTATTTGTTGTTGTCTTGTTTATTTGCTTTTTACCACTCGTAGACGGCAGAATATAAGAATTAAACATTCACCCTTCGAGCACATTATCTTCTTTGCTACATTTCGACTTGCTTGCTCCTTAAAGCGCTTCTTATCGTAGCACGTAGAGGAGAAAGGCTAGCCCGCCGAATGTTTCGTTGTTGATAAGATCCACCATCTGAAAGTTTCTCCGTATTTTAGTCTTTTGGAAGCTGTTCATCGCCAAATGAAAGTTGTTATTTTCAGATTTACCGTCAAAGATCGGTCTTGTGGGACTTTTTTTTCTAATGATTTTTCAAAAATTTAATATGTTTTCCTCATGAAAGCTGTACATTTGAACTGTAATAGTGAAGATATTTTCTACCATTCACTTGATGGTATTTACAGCATTATCAATGCGTTTTATGTCGGAGTCTTGCTCCAATATTGTCGAATATTCAGATTATTCAGTATTTATTCGGTATTTCAGCATTCTTCTCCTTTTCGATCATGCCGCTTTCCACTTCTCTGATTCATCTTCACAAATGATACCACTTAATTTACATCGTTTGTATCGGACCAGTCTACGCTTTTAAAGGCAGTGTCTCACCAAAATTTAGTTGCCGAAATTTTTGCATTTTGCAAGCCTGTCGGATCCTGTCTAGCACTGTATGGGCTTAAAATCGCACGAACTTCCCAAAAACCCCGTTTTCTGGAGGCCCCGCGGACGCAAGGTGGACGAGTTGTACCTTCCAACTTCAGCCCCAGCCACAGTGGCAGCAGCAGAGGGGAGGTGGATGCCAAGTGGAGGGACATGTTCAAACGCGTAAGGGGGGAGACCGAAGGAGTCGTCCGCGCGTACCAACTGGCTCTCCGCGTACCACTTTGAGCGAATTTTTCTCAGCGTAGAGGGGGTTAAATTGAGTGGGACTTGTTGCAATGGCCTATCTAGAGGTCCCTATAATAGAATATGTAAAGATCCCCGCGACTTCGACTTTGGTGGGACACTGCCTTTAACATAGTATATAGATCTTGGAGTAGTTCCGATGTGTCGTCTCTTCTTTTTCAATTTAAAATAGTTTTATCATCGAGAAATGCACCATCGGATAAAATGCTGCCTGCTTCTGTTTTTTCGCAAAATTGAAGATGTAGTCCGGAAATAGGCTTTGAGCCAGGAAATGTCGATGCTTCTCAAAATAGTTCGATGAATATTTCCGTTCCTTCCCTTCCATATTCCTTTCCAAACAGTTTACCAATCGTCTTTGGGTTTAGCTGTATATGCATATTCTCAGAGTATTTCATATTAATTGAAGAGGCTGATGTCTTACCCTAGGAGAATAGTGGTTCTCAACATTGTTTTCGACGCCGAGAAACTCGTCTTCACTATGTCAATTGGCAGTTTTTGTCTACTAGTCAATAGTTGCTACTGGCATACATATGTATGCTTTGTGTTCTGCTAAAAAAACATTTAGTTTGAATAGAGAAGTGGAGGGGAAGTTTCTTAAAGCTTTTTTCGATGCTTTTTCAAACGCGTTTCAGTTCAAGTGCGATGTTTTCTTCCCCAGTCTGCACGTCTGGTTTGGTTTAAGCGTTCTATTCAGTAAAAGTGTTGTTAATTCTCTTTTCTGCTTGGTCTCATTTGCCACAGTTCCATCTATTAGGACAAAGACCTTTTTGAATTGTTATTGATGTTAATCAAGACGAAGGAGACCCAATAGAATTCGCTCCAATTTTGATTTGATTACAGAAGAAGGAACAACATGCCGCAAAGAAGACAGAGAATTGTTCGATCCCTTCTTTGAAATTGAATTGCTGTTTGTCCGTGTTGGAAGTTACTGAATTCTAAAGTACATATTGTCAAAAAAGGGAGCCCAGTAAATTAAACATTTTTTGCCTTCCGCTGTGTGGCTAAAGCCGCTGTTTGTGAAAAAAAAACCCCTCAAATTTTGAAATTCATAAGGTTCAAAATTAACAAGTCATTGAATCGTTCTTATTTTCTGTCGGTGTGTGAATTCTGTCCTGATTGCTGTAACAATCAATTTCAATTAACAGTAACTTGAACAATCTGTCTGTTTTTTGTGGGTCACTGAGCATGACAACTTCATTGTGGTTCGTTGAACCTCATCAGTATTGCTTGGTATCTACCGTCTTGCATAACGAATGCTCCTCGGTGAATTAATTTTGATCAAAGTTTCAACGGATAACAGCTCTTTTCCCACAAAGCCTTTAACTTAGCTTCGTGGACTCTTGAATAGAGCAGTCTCAACTCGGTATACATTTACACTCTAAAGCGAACAGCGAATCCCATCCTCCACTACTGTGGGATTACGGTAGGAACATCGAAAAAAGTTTACAATGATCACATCTTGCTTCAGAATGGATACTCATTGAGCTAAAAATATTATATATTATTGAGCTAAACTGACAAGGGAAGCTTGTTTAATCGAAATGGCTTTTCCAGATGAGATGTATATCATATCAAAGGGCTAAAACGCTAATTCCAAGTCTGCCTTTCTTATCTGCGGAGCGTTTATGGACGAGGAGTTATGAGCGTTTTTTGAAGCCATCAAATGTGCACTTTGGATGAAATAAGTTGCTAAAATCTTACTACCCCTCAAATAATGCAACCAAGTATGGTTTATATTTTATATTTTGGAGTATTTTTTGAATGAGGAGCTCTGATGATTATCACTGCTCTATTGAAGAGCTAGAAAAAGTATTACGGTTATTTTTGTCCTACTACCAAATTTAATTTTTTGCTCCATCAAGCGCTCATAACTTCTCGTCCATAAATGTTCTGCAGATAAGAAAGGTAGATTAATCAGCATTTTGCGTCCTACAGTATGATATGCATCCCATCTGAAAGCGCCACTTCGACTAAACATGCATTCCTTGTGGGTCGCTGGCCGTGACTATAAAATTCGGAATTTATCGTAAGGCTCTTTTAATAAGTTATGCCAGGTAAACGGCAACAATTTTTTCTAGTTTTTCATACAAAACTAAATTGAGCCGTTGGAATCAGTTTGTGTGACACACCTGTACATTTTTCCCAGATTTTTTTTCGAACTTTTTTTGACACGGCCTTTCACAGTGATGCTGTGAAAGGGCGTGTCAAAAAAGGCCGTGTCAGTGTATGCAGGAACTTTCTCTCGTAACCTTACAGTAATGAAGAGCAATGGATGATCCGCTCCATATGTTAGTATGAGTTGAAGCCTGCTCTAATGAATGTCACTCAATGCTAGGTAAAAGACTTTGTAGGAAGAGAGTTATCGACGATTAAATTGTGTACTTATTTTTGGGACATCCTCTATTAAGCACGTTGTGATGGTCACTATTTTATAATAAAGATATCCTATAGTTTTTTTTACATCGTGTGATCGAGGCAGCTGTCTTGTAGAAACTGTATGCCCTAATCTCATACTGTCCTGCAATTCTTCTAATTAGTTTGACGTACGTCTCGGATGTTACTAATTGCCAGCGTTTTGCCGTCAACGCGATTAGTCGAAAGACTGATTTGAAAGACAAGAAAATTTGTCGTTTGTCAGTGTGGTCTTCGTCTCACCGTAACTTAATCCACCATGAATTATTGACATTCGCGTGACATAAATCATGTTTCTTGTAACTTCAGTATTGCCAGGTCTATATATTAATGTCTTGTTTCGTGTCTTCAGTCAGTAATTTAGGAAAGTGGGAAGTCTTATTTGTTCTGAACCTTTTGTAATAGTCAACTTCTATTTATTTGAAAAGAGTTTATTTGTGTTCGAGAGCATCAACGGGGTGAAGTCATTAGCTGACTGACTCATACTGGAAAACCGATTACATATGTCGGATAAATTTATTGTAAGTCATCAAACAGTTGTCGCTCAGTGCTCTGAAATTTTTATCTTGACTGAGAGACTAATTTTTGATGTGCAGAAAATTTTCTGCTATCATCCTTATTCCCATCGCGCAGTTTTTGCAGATGTATCCACTTGATTAATTGTTATAACAAATAATTTTTTATCTGCAAAGTACACTCAGTCATTTCTACAATTTTCAAATCTGTTCTTATATCTCTTGAAATTTGGATCATATCTCGCTGCACGTGGCTCTTGCATGATCTATTTGGTATTTGAAAAATTCACTTTTCCAGACCTACAAAAATGGAGTTAACGCCTATGGGCATATTTACAGCATGGCTAGGAGCGTTTTCTATATCTTTTACATTGATGCCTCTGTAAGTCTTCGATTTTTCAGACCCCTTTATTGTCTACTTTGAACTTTGAATTCCAGTATGATGGTGCTTGATTGGCGTAGGCGAGGTACAGCTGATGGTTTCTCTTCTGTAAATTTCGTTTTGCCTATGCTTATGTGAGTTGAGAATGATCTAAATTTCCCTCAGACTCCCCCGACCAGGTGAATTTTCATTTTAGGACCTCCTGCTGGCTTCGACACGGTTATATGACCAATGATAGCACTAACATCACTATCAACACAATCAACATCGCCTTCTTTATTTTTTACATCCTTTGTTTTGCTTACTATCAGCCTAAAAGGGTGAGTGTCGGAGAATTTCAAAAATTTTGCTTGGACCTTCGAGCTCTTGAAGAAAAGAACTGATTTACAGAAATACCTCTACCTCCAACTGTTAGCATGTGGTCTTGCAGTAAAACTGCTCTTTATGTATGTCGACATGCAAAGTAAGTCGTTCCACTCTTAGAATTTTGAATTTGGCAATATTAAAACCTATTTCTAGACAAGGACATCGCACCCGATGTGATGGGCTCAATCGCAGCTGCTACACAAATTGCTAGCTTGGCTGGTGGATGTTATGAAATTGTGAGTAAAGGCAAATAGACGAGTCGTGTTGAATTGGAGAATTTGACCTTTTTCAGAAACGAGCCATCACATTCGGACACACGGAGTATTTACCAGCTACATTCCAATTTGCAATGTTTGCCCTAATTGTGCAATGGCTTGCATTTGGAATATTGACTGGAAATCAGTATATAGCGGTGGGTAAACATTGTTAATAAGTTTCATTCGTTTTTCAAATCAGCTGTACGATCACGGGGCCTTTTTATGAAAGGGTTAATTGCAAACGATAGTAGGTACAACCGTAAACCGAAAAATTTGGCCTCTATTACTTCCCATGAATTTATTTTTTTCAAAGGTTATTTTTAGATCGCCAACGCTGCAGCTCTTTGTGTGAACCTAGCTACGATTGCCTTATACTTCATCTACCCTCCACTCACCTGGCGTGTACCAATCATAGGAACTGGTCCACAACAGAAGAAAGAATTGTAAAAAGCTCCTCTTTTGTATGCATTCGCGCTTGCCATTTCATATACTTACAATCATTCATGTTGTTCATGATCTTGCCTGTACGTTTTTGGATAAAGCTTACAACATGTGATTGCAGCTATAACCTCTGACGGGAAATGTCCTCCTTGTCTATGCTGGCGTTTTAAACAAAGATCCTATCCGAAGAACTAACTGCTACAGTCTTTGGCTGCTTCATACATTGAAAGAGAAGCTGATGATTTCAACAAGACTTAGCGCTATCCCATAGCAAAGATTGTACAAGATCGATGTAATTTTGGCGCGACCTATCTAGTGGAATAACTCACATGAGCAGCTCAGCATTGCATTTGCTAGAACGCATGCCAATCAGTCCTCCCAACATCTATCCGTGAAAAAAAGCACAGCAACTGTAAATACGAATGTCTGATGTGGACAGTATATGCACGACCAAGTTGGAGGTTCGCGAATTCTTGCTAAGGATACGTGCTTGTGTATTGCATTTTCAATTTGCTTGCAAACTCATATATTGGATTTCGCTATTTGAAAGCCATCTTGCTGAGGCTGCTTTTTTTCCATCGATCTGTGCTGTGCTAGCGTAAGAAACGTGCATCAATTTTCGGACAACCTAATAAGGCGGGTTCTCCTCAACTTATTTCTGATCCTGAAGTATCGTCTGCATTCATTCCTCAAAACGACTCAAAATCTCTCACGACGCTTGATCAGGAGCATTGGCGTCAAGATCCGAGCTGATCTGTATTTGTGTAACTTCATGTTCCTGTGATGTACTTGAGAATTCGATTTTGAAAATTCACCTACACTCAAAATTGCAACAGGTTGCACATGCTCAAACAATGTCAAACCAGATTTTTGATGAAAAATCTAGGCATGAGTCTCAGTTGAGATGATTTATAATAAAGTGCAACGTCAAAATCAGATTTCTTTCAAGTTGAAAGAGAATTTTGTCTTCATTAAGCGGCCGTTAAATTTTCGCATTCCTTTTTCTGGAATCCACCCAAACTAGACCCTCCTCATGCTGGGGTAGAATAAAGAGACGGAGAAAACCGTGCCGTAGCGCTCGCGCAATTCAATTTATAGTAAGGACCTAGATTGTGTTCCAACGATATTAAGAAGCTGAGTAAGAATTCAAACGTCTGATTTTGGTAGCACATCTAAACAGTACAAACTTTTCCTAACTGTAGCACATAGGACAAAAATAAAACCTTTAGGGACCTATAGCGGATACCTGCATACTTTTCCCTTTATCAATGTAATCGTACACTAACGATAAACTCCATGCACTCAACATATAGTGATTTGCATTCCTGATATCACGAAAAAGGATTTGTAAGAAATGGGTTGGTAAAATTCTAGGAGATTCGGTGAAAATCTATGAAACGACTAATAACATCAAAACATTGCACTATTAGCTATCAGTGGTTAAAGGAGTGTAGAAATAGTAGACCCAAAAAGTGACTGCGGAAACTAAATTCGCATGAACAATGTCGATCAAGTTTACAATTTTTTTTCGAACTACAAATCTAATTTTGATGTTGCACTATATTACAAATCATCTCAATTGGGTTTCCTGCATAGGTTTTCCGTAAAATCGGGTTTGACACTGTTTGAGCACCTGCAACGTGTTGCAATTTTGCAACCTTCAAATTCGATTTCTCAAGTACATCACAGAAACATGAAGTTATACAAATACAGATCAGCTCGAAACTTGACACCAGTGTTCGTGAGCAAGCATCGTGAGAGATTTTGAATTGTTTTAAGATCGAAGGTCAATAAGTGTAAGCAAGAAGCTTGTTTGCGTCTAATAGCGAACACACTGATAGCGAATATAAAAACTAAATAGTTGGGACCCTACCTGAATGCGAGACCTATATTTTACCCGTTCAACCGAGTTGAGGACTACCGACAATAAACGCTGTCCACATGTGGGTACATGTACAGGCAACAAGTGTGCGGACGTAAAAGGTACAACCCTTTTACCGGAACTGGATCGGGCGAATCAGTACCCAGGAAGAAGTGGATGTTTTGAGTCTTGCGGAGGACTTGGATGCGACTGCTTTTATCCAAGCTCAGTCTGCCTCCTCTATAGAAGATACGTCGCACACGGACGAGATGATCTATGAAATGTTCAAGTGCGCACGATGGGCGGAAACGGTTAAGCTGGAATTTTCTGTAGAAAATGTCCACTCAAAAGAAAAACAAAGAAAACATTACACTATTGAATCCCACGATTTCTCAGCGCTTAGGGTGACTATGACCACAATTGCACTACCACCGACGGGGTGTGGTGTGGAAGGCGACAATCCTCAAATTTTGTGCCTTTCAAGACTTCGATGCTAAAGTGACACGGGCCAAGGTGGGGGGGGGGGGGAAGCAGATACATGACCGCGATGCCAGTAAAATCTTGTAAAAGTTAGAGCGATTTCACACTGCTTGCATTACGCCTACGCTTGGAGAAATGTTCATTACAGACGAAGAGAAAATTTGGCAAAAACCCTTGCGACCGATCTATTCTGCAGCATGGCAGAAAGAAAACTCTTCCGATTGTATTCTGCGCGACACCTGTCAGTGCGCCCTGGCGGAGTCGTAGGTAATGTCAATATCTTTCGCAGGATTTACTCAGGAGTTTAACCGCGTTGACTTGAAACTACCAGTGGTTATCGGGAGAGCTCAGACTATCCGAAGGAATTTCGACAGCGAAGATACCGCAGATATTGTCGGCCGAGTTCATATTAACAGAACAAACAGTGAGCACAGAATAAGTGAAGGTTCTGGTGAAACAAAGTTGCTGCACAATATCTGACAGAGAGATAACGGGCTTTATAACTGCGTTAAGGGAGCAGAAGGATCTAGGGTTCTTCATCGCGTGAGACGCTTGCGGGAGTGTGTAAACAAAACGCATTTCTCGTGCTATGCGCTCATAACGCTTCACAATCTACTGTCAGGTATAAGGGTTAGCTATTCCCTTACCTGATGTGTAGCGGGTTTACATAAGTCTTACTATAATATTTATTGCTTGATAGTTATGTACAAAAGGGGGGGGGGAAGGGGAAGGGGAAGACCACCGGCTAGTGCTGGCGGCCGGAGGTCACTGCCAGAGGTTGGCTGTCTTAGGCCAACCTCCTTCTCGAGCAGCTGTTGTAGCTAGCTGCGTCCCGACATCTCCATTCCTTCGAGAAGCTCGTCCTCGAGCTTGTGGCATGGCTGAGGTTTCGAGACGTTGTAGTGGTTGGCGTTGATGTGGTGGATGTTCTTCCGAGTGACGTGCTTGAAGTTTGCACGTAATTTACGGCGAGAACGTACAGTTGGCGTGATGATATGTTAAAATACATACAGATGTGAGGATATGGATCCGGTGGACTGCGAGCAGACACGACCTTCACCTAGAATATCCTATGGCGTTGAGTAAGATCGTCTTCGAGCTTGAAGGTAGCTGAGGAGAGGGGGGAGGAACTGCGGAGAGATGCAGTTGTGTGAATGGGGTTCCCGACATGATGCTGGGAAGGAGTTGGAGTGGAATTGTAGGAAATGGAGATGGACCGATTGCTTTTAGGGCATGGTAAAAATGGAGTTGATCGAAGGGCAAATGATTTAACATTTGGGGTGGAATTAACAGCATGTAGAAAAATTGTAGTATGAAATTACTGAACATACGAAGTAGATGGTATGGAAAAAAACTGGTTAACACCAAATAGTTTTACGGTGATAATAATGGTAAATTAGTGATAAGTTCATAATACATATACGCAGAAAAATTTTAACAGTAATTTCTAGGCAATTATAAAACATAATTCAATAGTAATTTTACAAAATTACAAAATTTTGTTCACAGTAACATTTTCTGTGAATAATTGCATGTAAAACAGAGGCGTAACGACTTCATATGTTGAATTGGGCACTGCATACTTTTTTTTTTCATTCAACATAAGGGCAAAATTTGTTTGTTACATAAAGGGTTTTTTTTGTTGAGTTGCCTAATGCGAAAGTTTTCTTTGAATTGGTTCAAAGAAATTTTTTAAGGTACGCAAATACGCGACGCTGCAGCAAAAATAGGGGAAACAAACTGACCTTAGAGAATAAATAACTGCTCATTGCAAAATATCGAATGTTTATAAAAATTTAGCGAGCAATTATTCATCCTCTCCTTCGGAATCGATGTTTGGATCCGCTGTAAATGTTTTCTGCAGTTGCAAACGAGGAGTTCGTTTGGCAAACTGAGTTTGTTCAACATTTTCTGGAGTTTTCGTTGGCTTATGTGATATAGTAATAATAAGAAAGATAGTTTTTTAATTTGTTTCTCCGTTTCGTCTCTTTCCTTAGACGGAGTTTTGAGATCTAGACCCTCTCCGGGACTCTTAAGTTAAGTAAGTTTTTGGGGGGAAACTCTAGCCAATGTTGAACTATGAGAATAGATTTTGAGTCTATTTATATGGACACATTGAGTTTTAGTAGGTCCAATCAGGTTAGATATAGTGACATTCGGACGATCGACTTGCACAACCATAAAAGGGCCTTTCCACTGGTATGTAAATTTTGGACGAATAGTGTCGTCTCTTAGTAATACCAAATCTCCAGTGGAAATTTCCTTAGAATAAACTTTATTATGGAAACCATAACCTGACTTATACGTCGCTGTTTTGCTGGCGATCTGGTTGCCAACTTCCATAATTGTGGTTTGCAGTGCAGTGATCGGCTGGTCCGTGAAACTATCGGTTGCGTAGGAGATCCTCGATGGTAACTGATGGACTATGTCGCACCAGGTGATCGGGTGAAGACCATACACAGTGAAGTACGGGCTATTTCCTGTGATATCGGTTAGATACTAGTGTTGTGGGCGAAGAAGATCGGCTGCAGAAAATCAGACCATAGCTCTTTGGCTTTTGGACAGTAAGCCGTTAGAGAGTCTGTAATCACTTTAACCATCCTTTCGACTTGCCCGTTTGCTTTGTGGTTGTAACTTTGTGGTGAACATGTTGGAAATGCCAACTGCTCGGTTCATTTTCGCAAACATTTCATTAGTGTAATTAGAACCACGGTCGAGCACTAGTTCATAAGGAAAGCCGTGTTTAGCTATGA